ACCTACCCCTTGCACCCTCCCATCATCCTCTGACACCACATGCACAACAACATCTGACAAAACAGCCTTCAATGCAAGCAACTATAAGCAACAGTGTTGTCATTACAGTGTTCAAAACCGCCAAACAGAACTTAATGACCATCCTCCACCATCCTCATTGTTTTATGGTATTGCTTTGCACCTGCACATTTATTAATGCTTCTTTGAATACAGTGGTTGGACTCAGAGTTTGTACACTGGCAAGATTTCCCATGCTGAGTACCCAACAGCAAAGTACATTTTAAATCAATTGCTATTTTCATCACTGACCATCTTGTGGAGATTCACTAATTTAGTTAGGAGAGTCATTAGTGAACTAAGCTACATTTTTCTTTTTTCAAAAAATCGTTAAAGTATTTAGGCAAATGTCTGATTTTATAGTAATAATATTGTGGCTGTAGCAGCAAGAGAGATGTGCAGCTTAAACAAACTGCAAAGTGACCAGCATGCTATAGATGTACAAATATTTTGCCAATTTTGAAGATCACTTAATACTACATTTTAGTCCTAGGGTACCACCCTAAACTATCTGATCAACATTTATGCATTGGCTTAGATGAGCCTATATTTAATACTGTAGCACATGGCTCTTTTCTGCTTATGACTACTGCAAGAAGTTGAGGGAAGAAGGGAGATGTAAAAAGGAGGGCATGGAAGTACTCCCGACACTGCAGAATGTTTCCCCCTCTTCAATGGGAGCTTACTAAAACCTGTTATACAACAGCCAGGCAACTGTGAATCTGGGCAGTAAGCAGGTTCTGTTTTCTGGCCAAAGGGAATACCCTGGGGAAATGTTCTACCAGCTGATAGAAATATAGTTTCTAAGGGCCTGAGTGAGAGGCATCAGCCCTGCCTACACATGTCATATGGGTCAAGCACAGTCCTAAAGCGCATAAAGCCACAAAATTCACAGTTTAGAAGGCCATATTCTCTATCCCTTTACCTAAAGCACTCCCCTGCAGAGCACAGACTATCCGATTTTCACAGACTGACATGCCACAGTGATATTTAATAGATTTTCTTCTCCTCCAGATATTTTTTGGTAAGGGGCATCAAGACTTTAGAGTTTATGGTAGCAGATGCTGATAAAAAGAAACAGTTTAGCACTCCTTTATTGTCAGACAACAGCTGCATACACTTTTCAGCACTAAAGGAAATAGATTTCAGAGGCAAAGGATGAGGAGGGGGGACAAGGGAGAGCGAGCTGGAGAGAGAGACCAAAACACCTCTTTGCTCAAATTCAGGAGAAAGCGCAAATTAAAATCTGTCTGGTCGCCCCAGTATAGTTCCTGCTGGATTTGTCCCTCAGGGCAAAACAACTGTATAATTTAACACATTGGAGTTCTCTCTACAAGAAATGACCAGAACTAAAATAATTAGCTGTTGGAGGGGTGAGCAGAAAGGATGACAAGGACTTATATTATGTGGCTGTCATGGGGATAGGTGACCATAACATTCCTCTACTTCTACTGGTGGGATCCCCAGCAACTGGAAGCATTTTGTATGAAGGTGCATTAATAAAGCTACGCAAAGAAGCTTTCACACTACCTGCCAAACATTCCCTATCCTATGACAAACATCAATGCTACATGCATTTAATTAAAAAAAAAAAAATATTGCTCACATACATTTTTTATTTCCTACTTCGTTTTTCTGAGTTTGAAATTAAAAAAATCTGTCGACTTACATTAAATTCTTCACGAAACAGTTTCCCATCATCTGCCGATCTTATCCTGATTTCTTCCTCCAAATTCTCCACTGGAATTGGAAAGTACTTCTTTGGGCCTGAGGGAGACCTGCTGAGCAGCATCACCCTTTGTTGCTCTGCAAGATCAGAAAACATAAATGTTAAATATGTTTTCAAAATGAAACTAGGCAGCCCATTAACCAAATTGTGCACAAATCACCTTTGTGAAGCACCTTGGAAGAAGGCATTTGTGAAAGGGAATCAAACTGGAAAGAGAGATTTCTTCAGCAAACATGAAAGATTATGTCATTTCTCTGAAGCAAGACAAAATTCAAAATAATAAGAGAAGCTTCCTAATAGTAAAAATGAGGGGGTTGGGCTTTTAGCAGATTAAAAACTTCATTTGTAGGAGCCCTTCCCAGAGACCACACGGAGTCATAATTTGTCATACGTCAAAAACCTTGTCCTGTTTAGAAGAACTATAATGGGGTGAATGTTTTGCTGTTAATAAACTGCTTTTATGGATTAACAATGTTTGAAACAAATTCATAAGACAACTTGTTTGAAGAGTTATATCAACATCATTAACGGAAAGTATATGAAGCACCTGAAATTTCATTTAGTCTCTGTCCCAAAGTATCAGCCAAAACAGTATTTGCATCATGGAGACAAGAGTTTGTATTTAACAAGATCTCCTTTTCTGAAAATATACCTTTTCACCTGAAACTCACTGTTAAGACCAATACTTTCTTCCAGAAACAGAAACCAAAACTCTAGCCTCACCTTTGCGTAGCCAAACACATCAGTGTAGCTCAGTAAAATTTCCTGCCACCCAGGGATTCCCTTATATCAAGAAAAGCCTTCAATACTGCACCTGCTGGCTTTACAGATACTATGCAATGACTGCGTATTAAAGTCCAGGAGTCACAATACTGAATTTATTAACAGTGAAGCCAAACAATTTGAAATCACGGTAGAGGAAGTTTCCCTGCAGTGGTAGCTTTACGTGAAAGAAACTCTTCCTTAGACCTGGGGGGAGGCACAGTCCTTTCAAAAACCGTGGTGTATTCCTTATTATTTCATTCATTAGCCATTCTTGCTGGGCAAGCATGTCTCCAATGCACTGGAAATTCCTGTCATTTTAACCTTTTTTTAGCAAATGTGTGACGTTGAACAGGAAGTTGCATCAGTTGGGTTATATTTAGTACTGTGAGCATTCACCCTCACTTGTCATAGTTTTTTCAAAGTATCAACACCCCCTGCTCCCCCATATACACTTGCCATCTCTTAGCCCGTACTGTGCTTGATAGCATAATTTTACAAACCTATTCTAACAATTCTTAATAAAAGTAATGTTTGAAAATCTTTTAGTGAATAGTTTCAATTTCTGGACTGTATATTTTTTTAAAAATACTACTGACACTCTCTTATCCTTCTTATCTTTCTTTTACTTGTGATCTGTTTATATGGGACACTCCTTTTGTATGTAAACTTTGTCTTCTAAAACAAACGTTTCAACTGCTTTTCTTAATGTGAAAACAGAGCCAGTAATTCAGCTATCCTGAGAAATCCTATATTCACAAGCCAGTTACAGAGAACTGGCATGGGGAAAGAGGAGGGAGGTGGGGCATCTGGTAAAGTTACAGCTTTAAGTTGCAAGTTATTTTAAAACAATAAGAAGGCAGGCAGTATTATTTCAATATGAGATTTTTTTTTTCTGGCAAACCCAGCACAAAAATAAAAGATACAAGTAATCCTCAAAGTGTAAAGAACCACATTTTTAACATTCAAAATTAAAGAATTCGTATTTTTAAAACAAGTCATTCTAAAATCGAAATATTTCATTACCTTGCTCTTCTAAGATTCCATTTGGCATTTTTTTGTCACTGGTGTTCACAACCGCTTTCCTATGCTTCCTGAACCTTGAATACATAAACCAAATTAATTTGAATAATTGTATAAAAAGGCAACACATTTTCTTTGATACTGACTGATACAAACCATGTCATTCTGGAGAAACTGTTTCTGAACATCTTCAGGTGATAAAAGTTTTGGTTAACAATAAATTACAGCATGAAGCATCCTCCTCTAGGCTAAGCTGTTTCTGAGACTGCAGCTCATACGTAGAATACTTTCATTTCCTCATTAGATAATATCAAAACAAGACCAAACTAGTACTGTGCAGAGCACTTAAACACCTAAACACATACCTGCAAAAACAGCCAGTCAGAAGAATGAAAATGATGAACATAGTAAGCAGGATCAATGATGAAGTGAGTAGTTGCTGTTGTGAACTGTTCCCATCTGGAGGTCCTATTAAAATAAACTCAGTGAATTAAAATACACACTCCGTTTGAAGTGCTGTAATAGATTGCTTATGACTAAAACAGATAAACTGTATATTCATGTCTAATACTTATAAAAAAGCTATTTAAATGCATTGAAGAGTTAATCTTTAACAAAAAGGTTCCCACTGAACATAAGTTTTGGGGCTACATGCTGTGTTCTGACTGAATATCATCTTGCTGAACAACTCAAAAAGGTACATTTTGGGAAACAAATGAAAGTCTGAAAAATCCAGGGAGGTGCTTTTTTTAAAACATTTTTTTGCACTATAAAGCTGTTAGTTTTTTAGGACGTCATTTATAATAATACCTGAAGGCACTGCAAAGTTACATTTAAAAAGTGTAAAAATCAAGTGGGCAAGAATGTGGGTTTTTTTCTTCTGGTATATATTTAGTAGAGTAAAATATGTGATGCAGAATTTTATTAATTCATTAAATTAAATATATTGAAAGGCATCACACAAGTATGTACAAGGTAGTTTATTATTTTATAAAGCACTTAAGGTTTAGAGTACATAGGGTCAGGACCTTAGGGGTTGTAATTTTTAGTGAAGGTAATGGAGTCATGTTGATTGAAATCAGGTGAAGATCTCAGTCAGCGTATTGCCCTTTGGCAAAAGTTATCTAGTTACGTCATATGCCTAACCCACAACAGTGTGAAAGAAGGATGTTTCCTGCACAAAGACTCAAAGACAGTCATGAAAGGAAATCTATGAGCCAGCTACCTGACATCAACCAGACACAGCAGGGGCGGGCAATTATTTCAGGCGGAGGGCTGCTTATTGAGTTTTGGCAAGCCATTGAGGGCCGCATGTCAGGCAGCCAGGGGTATATAAATATTAATTTTCTCAATTTTTAGGGGCCCTGCGGGCTGGATAGAATGGCTTGGTGGGTTGCATCTGGCCTGTGGGCCGCATTTTGCCCACCCCTGAGACACAGTTTCAGGGCTGTGCTGCTGCCAGCGTTGAATTTTCAACTACTCCGATTAGTTAAGTAGCAATGTTTTAACTGTAACATAATCAGACTTAGAGTTTCTCAGACTTCTGACAATTGCATGGTTTAGACCAAAGTGGTTAACCTGCAGCACACATGCCACAAGTAACACATGCAGCCTCTATGTATGCCATGTGGCAGACCAGAGAGGGAACAGGCTGCACAGTGGTAGACAGGCTGTCTAACACAACAAAGCCAACAGATATACACACAGTTTGAGAAACTGGGGGCATGTACCATACTGTTCCATAACGTGAGATGAGGTGGCATCAGCTCACAAGGCCAAACGTCGTGGGGGAGAGGGTAAGATTCTTGTTTTGGGAAGGGTATGCATGTGATGAACTTGGAATATGCTGACAAGGTAGATGGTGTGATGAACATAGAAAGAGACCAATCAGCGATAGCCATAAATCAAGAGTCATCAGGAGGGAGGGAGAACACAAAAGTAGAGACTTGAGAGTAACAAGGGGTCCCTCCTCCCCAACAGGGCCCCTGAGAGGGGTCCCCATCTCCAGGAGGGGTCCCCAAGGCCACTATGGACACAGGGCACACCACCACCCTTTTTCACCCACCCCACTGGAGGGGGTTGTGGGCCTTGGCATCCCACCTCCAGGTTGTTGGTAAGTTGACATCTGACACATAAGAGAGAGCCTCAGAGTGAAGACTGTTTTCTGACCAGATGTACTTTGACTCTGATGACAGCCCTAGAATTTGGTAGATATATAGAATTGCTTGGTATTGTTCCTTTTCTGTTATCATTGTGTATCAATAAATTTGCCTATTATTAAATGGAAAGGTCATAGTTGGTCTAAGGGTGGGTCCAGGGTGCCCCCCCTCCCCCCTACGCATCCCTGCAGCTTGGAGCTCTGGATACTGATGTGGAGGTTGGGAGCACGGCCACAAGTTCAATGAAAGTCATGATAGGAACCAAAAAAGTTATATTACACGTATTTTCTGTAATAACGTCACTTATTCTTGGATTTATCATGCTATTAATTGAAGGATTGTGTGGCCAGGTCACTACTTAAGATCTGATTAACCAATTAATCACTTCTTAAGTATAATGTGCATCTTGGGCCTTAAGAATGTAGAACTGGAAAAGAACCCCTGAGTTATCAAAGTCCAGTCCCCTGCACTGAACCACAGAATCCCTTTAGAAACTTTAAAACTAAAAACAAGCATCTCAGGGTAAAAATGCCTTTTCCAGAAACCATCCCACCAGCTGTACTCTGTTCCTAGTTTCAGAAAACTAATATTAAAAACAAAACCAACCAAACAAGAACTAACGCAGCACGAATAACAGGAAACATGTCTCATGATTTTGCATTCTCCTGTGCCCAGGCTCTTCTCCCAGACTTCTGCTGGGTTAATTTAACTGTAGGTTCTGAGAAATGTGAGGGCTGGTAGATTCAGGTGAGACTATTTTTACCCATTTCTAACCCAAGTGGCAAGCCAAAATTAGCAATTAGCATGATGGAGCCAGATATTTGATGCAAACCTGTGCATTTCCAAAGGATGTAAAAGTCTTATTCCTTTGAACAAAAGAAGAATCAATGAAGAGAAAAAATAGTGGACCACTTTCAGTCAGCTTGCAACCCAAACTCACGCTTTGCAGACTTTATCTCAAGATCATATTGCTTTCTAGCTCCTTCTCTCACTATTTTTTTAATCACTTTCTTTTACAGATACACAAACTCCATAAAACTTCATTAGGTTAAGTCCCTCTGTGTTTTGGTCAGTGACTAGTATCAATATTTTGAATGGAAGCTGTTGTTGTTTCAATTATCTGATTTCATCATAGAGTTCAACTGGGAAAAAATATTTATCCCACATGAAGAGCAGTTAATTAGACTTACTGGTTTAAGTGACACTTAACCCAAACTATAATGTAACAAAACCTTTGGACAAGGATATAAATCTGGCTGATGCAGCCTCTTTAACATTTATGCAACTTGCATACAAAGGGCTAGAAAATGGGTAAAACCAACTCCCAGCACTTATATGCAGGAAGCCCTTCTATTCCTGGACATGTAACCCCACATGTGTAGACAAGTATGTGCCTGTGTATCACGGTATGAGCATTTTGGCAACAAAATGGAAAGGACATGGGGGGCTGCCCCATGCTTTAACCCCAATAGCTGAGTGAATTGGACACTTACCTGGAAAGCTGAAGACCTGGGTACTAGACTTGTTTGCTCAGAGACCTTTACCTCTCTGACTTTGCAGCACGGTGCTCTAACCACCATGCCATAAGTTATGCATTACCCAAGCCCTTCTGAAGATTTTCTTTTGAAGCTGATTTCCTTTTAAAATACAGTCCTTGGGAAAAACTGAAAGAGGGCAGAATAGACATCTGTGGCATAGCAGTTAGCTTGCTGTGCTGAGAAGACAGAGATGTAGGTTCAAACCCCTGCTGGCTGAAGGGTGGCTAGAACCCGAATCTGGGGCTTCCCAGGCAAGTGCCCTAAACACTCAATAACTTGTGTAAGACATGGGAGAGTCTTCTTCCATATAACACCTATTACACATGGCTTTGGGGCTGCGTATGTATTTGGGCCATGGCTGCCCATACATCTCCACGTTGCTGGGCATGTAAAAGATCAGTTCACAGACTACTGTACACATTTGGGTTACAAGTTGACTGGAAAATTAGAATTCCTACCTATGTGTAGGTGCCACAAAGGCCATATAGACTAGATGACTAAAAATCTGTTATTTAGAATTCTACACCCTGCACGGCAGAGAGCTGGAAAAAATGGCTCTAAATAAACTCCATTCTCAGTAGCTACCAAAGCCTGAATGTTGTTATACTCCAATTGTTCTCAGCGTCTGAAACCACCCTTGGAGATATGTCCGCTCTACAGAGTTAAGTGAGGCTCTCCCCTAAGTGTTCCCCCTAATCTGCTTTCTACCCACACACAAAAGACCCCTCACTCGAATTCCACAGTGCTTTCAACCTAAGCTAGATAGCAGAGCTGGAGCTATAGGCTACAACCCACATTGTCCTTCTACTTTGAGTGGCAAAATGCACACATTTCAGTGAGCCCTCATTTAGCTAAATCGCTGAAGTACCAACAGTCTGTCAGTGCTGTTCCACAACGGCATGTGTCCAGGAGAAAAGACAAGCCCCACCCCTCCAATTTACTGGAGGGTGGTCAGGCCCGAAATTCTAAGTAAGTTCTATTAAATTTGTCAGACACATTATTCAACAAGTACCATGAGCTTCATGCTATCAGTTTCCTGGCAAGCAGGCTGCCGCTCCATGCTCTACCTTAAGACACTTTAAAGGATAGAAATTAACACCTACAGGTACCTGTTAACCTATACATCTGTCCTACCCTGTATAAAGCAGTTTATGTTGCTTTACATGAAAAATATTGTAAATGATTCCCTAGTCAAAACATAAAGAATAAAAAACTATATAAAAATATCATTCTAAGACTAAAATGTGTCTGCTCTCTGATATTAACATGTTTGTTACACTATGGTCTTATTCTGTCAGCATAAAGACCTGTAATAGCTGGTAGAGAATACATATTCATGTAGTTAACTTCAAGGCATAATAAATGGTCTAGAAAGGAAATTTACTACAGTGATTCCTTAGATTTCTCTCTGACACAGACTATTTGAGCCCAAAAACTAAATAGAAGGCGATGGAAAGATTGAGGAGCATTTTGATTATAATAGGTCATTGAATTATAATTTGAATTCTAAGGTCAGCATATTTTCATTGAATTGCATTTGACAGTATAAACTTTAATCTACCATGAAGGTGCCTAGAGCAACTGACAGGACATTTTACTATAAATTGACATTCAAATTATAGTAAAATCAATCAATTAATTATTAATCATTAATTACTGATGCATAAATAAAATAATAATTGCTTTAGCTTTGTCTTGTTTTCACGTTATGACATACTGTGGGATGTTTTCACTCCAGCCAATGAAAATGCTGACAGAGAACAGAATTTCCATTTTTTGTAAAACAGAACTCAATTGTGAGCAGGAAGCAAAAATGCAGAAGAATTGTATGACATATATTCCTTCTTAAAAGTAACATTTAATTATTTAAAAAAATTAAATGAGTGGAACACTGAAACTCAACATAACCTAACATATCCTTCCCATAGTGACTTGGGAAAGCTTCTACATTTCACCACATTTTCAGACAGGCAGAACAAAAGCTGGGTCAAACTAAACTGTTAATAACCTTCAGCTCCTTCTGTATAATCTCTTAAAATGGAGAGTTAGTTGGCTTTGGAACAAGTAGTCTTTATTTTTTTGGATTAAAAAAGATTGCACAGTTCAACAGCTATTAAAAGCATGAGATAAGTGTATAATCCTATTAACTTGGGCTCTCCTTTATACAGGAAGACATTTTTTTGCTATATATGCATTTTTTTTCCTATCAGACAACGATGTTAGTTTTTTCTACACATGGAGACATTAACATATATTAAATAACAAAAAGAGTACTTTGGTATTTAAAAAAATAATCTAGTCATACTACATATACATTACTTATATAAATTAAATTAGGGATTAAATTAAGCTGTTGAAGATATGGTTTCTTTTATCCATATTGACTCAAAATTGTATTGAACTTAACTGTGACAATCCCCGAACAACTGCCTCTTCTCTAATTCTATTAAAATGTTCTAGGAAGTGATACAAAATGATTAAACTACTTACTTCTCTTTCCTAATTTCTATATTCATAAATATCCAAACAAATTTTAGTAAAGTCATTTTCTAACACTTCAGTTATAATATTAAGCAAGGGGAATGCAACATAGCTCATTTTCCAGAATAAGTAATGATAATCTGTTGACTGTATTTCAGCATAGACATTCATTAGCAATTTTATGTTTAGATGCCCTAAAGCAAAACAACTGCTAAATTACTAATCTGAAAAATAGATTCTCCTTGATCCAAACTGTGCAGTACGTCACCCTGGGGGGCTAGTATTAAGGTCTACCAGGGTGGCCTAGAGAGGCATTTTGGAGTTACTCTCTAAAATTTCAGCTTTGATTTAAAACAAAAGGCTAGTCACTAGCTATTATGGTTAAAGAGAAAAAATTCAAAATATGATCCAAGTGACACCAGCCTAAGTCTATGTGAGTCTGCAGACAGTCTGAAGGGCTACCTCTGAAGTGAACCCGCCAAATTTGTTTCAATGGGTGCATTGAAAAAAAGAATGTAAGGAAGGACAGTGAATCCTTTATGAAGATTATGCCAGCATTCCCCAAAATCTGAGGTGAACCTTTCACAGCCACAAAAGACCAGATAGGTGTTTATGCCAAAAATGTATATACCATATTAACATAAATTATCATATATAGGCCACTGGTGCCACACAGTAGGGTTGCGTGGCTGGTGTAGAAATATAAGGTAGGAAGGGTCCTCAAGGTTAGAGTTTCATTAAAAGTTTGGGAAACATTGGTGACTCAAACTTTTAATGCTAACCCAAGTGACCTCAATCACCTTCAAATCCAGACACAGTTCTTCAGAAACTCCAGAAACTTACAGTCCAATAAACCGCCACATGAACCAACCATGCATGCTAACATAAACACCCTTTATCATATTTGACAGTGATTAATCATTCTTCTCTCCATTACTTCTGCTTTCTCATCATCCCTGACCATAACATTTCTAGATTATAATATATCCTAGTTTTTGATATGTTCTTGCCCTAACTCTATACGTCCTTTTATTTGTTAAGATTATTTGGTACAGCTTAAAACAGAAATATAATTTCCCCAAGGAGCTTTCAACTCCAGAACAATCTAAACATATTTTAAAGGGAATGTGGCTCATTTATGAGTTCATGTGAATGCCTGGGATGGTGAACACTTAAGGTGTGTTTAACAGAATAGCCTAGCTCCTAAGCTGGGGAGAAAAGTTTTTAGTAGAGGGCACTGGGCCTCGGAGCCAGTGCTGCCTGTTCCAGCAAAGTCTAGAACGTTCATGGCAGGATAGGAGTAGGTCTGGGGCTTGAGGACTTTCATGTCCATGTACAGTAGGAATGCCATTTAGGACACAGTGGGTGTGTCTACACAAGACACTTTACTGCGCACTAGAGTAATCTAATGCACAGTAAGGCATCGTTGTCTACATGTGCACAAGAATTATTGCACAGTAGATTAAGTTAAAGTGCCATTTGCTAGTACCCACAGATACAGTTAATAGAAAAGACTTTAAATAAATGCACTGAAGTGCATGTGTCAATGCTGACCAGGAGCAAATGCTGCCTGCCTAAGTTCCAAGCCCCATGGGGCAGAGGTGATAGAATAGGGAGCAATGGTGTCAAGTTGCAGCAAGGGAGGTTTATTTTGGATATTAAGAAAAACTTAATATGTGTGCTAGAAATGTGAGTAAATACACATGAGCAGTTTCTGCCACTTAAGCTTCAGCAAAGTGAAAGCAAAAGCAAATCTGCATGGGACCCACATACCACATGCACTGACCATTACTTCAAGACCACCCCTGTTTCCTTCCATAAAGTATTGAGCTCTACCTTGAAACAAAAGAGGCTCCTTTTCCTTGCTCAGAAGACCATTACAAAATTTAACTTCTGTAATCATTTTATTTTACTTCCCAATCTAAATCAGATCATGAACAGTTTGTAGTCATTTGATCTCATGTGAATATAGTTCATTAAGTTAAACAGCTCTTCTGCCTTTGATATTCACCCCATGAATGTATTCATAAAAAGTTAACATATTCCCTTTCAACTTTAACGTTGCAAGTTGTTAAGCTAAAAATAAAGCCTAGCTCTTTTAATCTCCCATTAGATAAAGTTCCCTTGTCCCAAACAACCTAACAGCCCTTCTTTGCAGATATTCTGGTTTAAATTCAACCTTTCTGAACTGAATGATCAGAACTGAACAGAATATTCTGAATGGTGTTTTTCTAATGCCTTGTACAATGGTACAAGTCTTTTCTGTTTCTGTGAAAAAATACTGTATGTAACACACCCTAGAACTGCATTAGCTTTTTTCATGACAATAACACTCAGGCTCATGATCATCTAATAATCAATGAGTACACCATTCCTCTATTATCACTCAAGTCTATGAGTTCCTGTCGTATAGCAGAAGTTCTTAATATTGAACTCCAATGCCATGGGCAGATGTGTTTGTAGCACTACACATGTTGCAACACTCTGAAGTGCTAAAAAACTGTAGCAGTATTGGGGGTAGGGAAGGGAGAGGGAACATGCAGAGCCCCTTGACTGGAGTACTATGAAGATATTGGAAAGACATTCAGTGGCATGCTCGCTAGCTGGGAGGCAAAAGGGGTTGCTCAGCCCCATGGCTCTGCTCTGCATCCTCCCACTCCTTCAGGAGGGAAGGCTGTCAGAGCTCCCTGTGAATACACTGATAACTTGCCAACACATGCAGGCTCTGGCAAGCAAAGCTGCATCCCAGTAGCATAGCTAAGGCAGGGCAACTGGGGCACCAGACCTGGGTGCTGACTTGGGGGACAGGGATGACAACAAAAAAATAGCAGCTGCTGCCAGCAGGATAATGGCAGAAGTCACCACAGCCTCCATGCAGCAGAGCAGCCCTGGGCACCTGACAGCTCATTATGCTTCTATTGCAGCTTAGCCAGAACAAGACTGTGAGTGAGCAGGGGTTCAATACCAAGAACTGGCACTGGTCCAAGCTCACTCACAGCCCCCATCCTGCTCTCTCAGCCACAGCCCAAACACTCACAGCTGTGGTTCCATACTGATTCACAGCTGATCACTCATAGCCGCGTCCTGGCTTTGCTACAGCTGTGAGACAGCATGCCATCAGGGTCACATGTGTCTGAGTGAGTCTGGTTCAGTCCCAGGCTAACAGCTCAGTCCCTGAGGGAGAGGTCAGCCTGTGCTTAGTGACAGTCCACATACTCTCCCTTTCCCCCTTGCCACTTGCAGGGAGCACTATGGGATGCTGGGGGACCAGTTCCCTCATAGCACCTATGATGTACTTGTTACACATTGCACATGATGCTACAAAAAGTAGTGCTATAGGGAAATTTCAGTTTTTTTCTGGCATGCCCATCTGCTTCTTCAACTTTTGTAGCACTACAATAGTGTCTGTAGCAAAACAAATGTAACATCTGTCCATGGCTAACAGTGTGATTTTGCATATCATATAATTAAATGTCATACCATTTCTATTTCCTATTCATAAGGTTGCCTTAATTCTTCTTATATAATAATGTAATCCTGTTTACATACACAATAACAACTTTACCTCCTTGTCAAATTTCATAAGCAAATGAAGAACTTATTCCATGATTTTTAATGTTAAATAATATGGGTCCTAAGACTTATGCCTGAGGAATACTACTGGTGATCTCTCTCAAATTTATAACTCCCCTTTCAAAATAACCTGCTGTAGTCCACTTTTTCTAGCCACCTGCTTATCCACTTTACAGTTATACTGTTAATCCCCATCTTCTCGGCTAGGAACAGACATTACACATAAACTGGTTTAAGTGATCAGAAACTGGTTTAAACCTGTAACAGAACAGATATTCAGTGCACATAAACTAGTTTGAAAATGGCTGAAACCAGTTTGAGATAAACGTATGTAGTATCAGACTTAACTAATTTGGCTCAAACTGGTTTATACAATGTCTGTCCCAGACCCCTTTAAGTTAAATCAGATTCTCCCAGCATTTCAGCATGCTCTCTGGGCTGGGCAGGGCTCTCTGCTCCACAGCAGGGCTGGCCCCTCCACTGTGCTCCCTGGCTGCAGGTCCAGCAGAGACTGCAGGCATCTGCCTGGCTTCTGCTCCCCCACACTCCCCTCTGCCTTACATAGACACACAGCATTAGCTAGCAGACCACATGCTGCCTACAGGCCGTGTTGTGGCAGACAGGATAAAAGCAGAATCAACCGGTAGTTCATAATGTCTAGCTGTTGTTTCCTTAATGGGATGATAAACACTGAGTTAGGGGTGATAAACACTGTGATGTCAATTCCCTGCTGGGATGGTCAGATGTGAGGTGGGGGCACCCCTCTGTCATGGGATGGGGTCCTCAAGGATGGCCGTGTTACTCCTAGGGCCCCTCAACTGTGCCAATTCAGTCTGGTGGGCACCCTCTATTTTCACCCACCATGTCTTGATGCATTTGTAATATAGGGAGGGTGCCTTTACATCCCATTGGACACAGTCCTGATGGATTTCCTTGAACTCCGTGGGTTCCCAGACCCCTTGTGGGTCCCATTTCAAAATAGATGTCACAGGATACCCCAGCCTTATGGGCTATATGCATGGCTCCAAACCGGCCCCTTACCATGCCCCAAGCCTTGCAGATGGCATTGATGTTGTCCGGTCTAGGCTTTGCTGTGATTTGGCCCCCTTGTCCTTTCTAGGCTCTCTGCAGCCCTGTCTCTGCACCTCACTGGTGCCTGGGCTCTCCGCAGCCCTGTCTCTGCACCCTCGGTGGCACCAAGGTCTGAGTGCCCCAAATACTGTGCCCTCTCTGGCGCCAGGGTCTGCGCACCCCAAATGCTGCACCCTGTCTGGCACCATGCTGCAGTGGGCCCCCAATGAGGCCTCCTCCTTCCCCAAATAGCCTCACCCAAACCACTGGTGTTATAAACAGCAAACAAACATAAGCCCCTGGGCTATAACATAATACAAAAGACGAGGGTGTGCCCTGCCCCTTTAAAAGCATTGAACTTCGCCCCCAGCACTAAGTGCCTAGTAGGCAAGGGTACCTGTGGAGTTCATGGAGCCCCATTAGCCCTAGGTGCAGCATATCAGGCAGTTGCTGTGTCACTAGGTACTTCCTCCCTGAAGGCTCCTCCCCTCTGGCTGCTAGCAGGGAAATGCCCTCCTGTCCTCAGCCCTGGGGTTTATATATATGCCAGGCCCTGCCCCTTCTGGTCAGCTGGCCACTGGCAGGTGCAGGCCAACTATCACATTCTGACTGGGCCTCCCAACTGCCTGCTCACGCCCTCTCCTTAGCAGTTTCAGCCCTTAAAAGGAGCAGGACATCCTACTGCCCTGCGACATCCTCCCTAATCAGAGCATCCTGCCAGGGCCTGGCCACACCCCCATCAGATCAACATTGTGGAAGGGAAGGGAGGGCTGCTCTAGCACCCCCAGCTTCTAGCCTGAGTCACTGCAGGCATGTGCCTGCATTTTTTCAGTCCAGAGGGAATGTCTGTGATATTACAAACTGGTTTAGCTTAGCCAGGTTAGACTAACCTGCAGTGATTGAATCAATTCAGGCTCAGGCTTTTTGAATGTCTGTTCTTAGCCTTCCAGTTTAACTAATACCTAACTGTCACCCACGAGACATTGTCAAATACTCTGCTGAAATCTAGATGGGTTAAATCTACTGCACTGCCCTTATCTAAAATTCAGTTATCCTAACACAAAAGCATATTAGAGTCATCTAACATGATTCTGGTTAGATAAGGCCATGCTGGTTTTTATCGCATTTTCTATTTATCTCCATACCTTTGATTATTCTTTCGTTCAATATTTGTTCTAAGTCTCTGTAAAATACAGAAGTCAAACTAATGGGTCTATAATTGTTTGGGTCATACTTCCCGCCCCCCCTCAGCCCTCGCCCCTCCCTTTTTTTTTTTTTTTACTTTAAGCTTTAAATTTGCTGTTTTCTGATCATAGTATTGCCAACTTGAGAGATTCACTGAAGATGTTAGCTATGGTAATTACCACTTCATGTACCATTTAAAGTAGATAATCTAACCAAGAGGTATAGAACTGCTTCTGTGTACAATAGAGAAGAGTCTTTCTTCAAAATGATAAAGACCTAAGCTGCAGCATTATCATTCATAAGAACAAACTGGTAACAAAGCTGTCATATATGAAAGAAAGATATCAGTTAGTGATTTTGAAAAAAAAATCACCTTTATAATTATTATCATGTCTTTAATGGCACTAAAGATAATATTCAAAGTAACCAGTATTCATTTTCCTGAAAAAGTGTGCTTTTCCAAGTTGGGGACTATGTAATATAATTATTTGCATTTCAGAAAAAAAATGTGAAAATAGCTCTGCACTGTCCATATTTTTTACCCACTATGCATGGGTTTCTTTCATTATAGACAAGAGCCAACATATGCATATGTTTTGTTCAAGCTTTCTTTTTAATTGCAAGAAAACACACAAACACATATTTGATGATGCACAAACATCCAAATAACCACTGATTTGGTTTGGATAAGCAGCTAGATATTCAATTCTTGCCTGAATTTCCTCTTGCTCCTTCTTTCCACCAATGTCATTCAAATCTTGAACTCTTTGTCCAAACAGATTTCTCAAAAGGAGTTTCTGCTCCTTGGGTCCCTGGTTTATAAAATGAGGTTTCCATATGCTTTAAACTGCCCCTCTTTTATGACTAGATATGCAACATTCATGCTGGTGGCTCCACCTGAAGGAGTTACCAGTCATAGCAATTAATGAGAAGTCCCCATTTTTTTACTTATTTAAAAATGTTGTATACATACTACACAAGGAAGAGGGAAGGCCAAAGGTATAGGCAACAATACATCAGATTCCAAAAGAGAGGTTACAATGATAATGGTAAAAGTACATCAGTAGAATCCATAGTAATAGAAAAATATTTGGGATGACAAACAGGGGGGCTTAACCAATACTGATTCAAAGAATTAAATTCTTCCTTACTTGTTGTGTTATTTGATGATACAGTTTCATTGGCCAGTGAAGCTCCAACCAGTAGAAAACTAATACAAACAGGCAAGAACCAACACAAATATTCCATCCTGGATCTGTAAAGAAAAGAAAGTAAGTATTGAGTTACATTATTATCATTATATCCTAAAGTACAATAAGAAAAATTTTCTCATCAACAGTAGATTAAAAAAAATTATTTTTTCTTCTTTTTTTAATGTTGAAAATTAAAAATGAAAGAAGAAGGAGGAAGAAATAGAAGAAGGAGGAGGACGAGGGGGAAAAACTAAAGATATCGAATAAATTGGGAATTCTTCAAAAGTGTTTTTAAACCAAATAATAGTAGTCCATTCTGTAAAAGTTATGTGCTACCAGTGGCTGAAAATGCTTGTGAGGATCTGTATTCTATATAAGATGTTACTGAAACCTTAAATAAGAGCATTACAGCCAAAATGACCAGGCATCACTGCAAATTGAAATGTTCCCTTCCACCAAAAACTGCAAGAAAAAGAAGCACAACTGTACCATGCCATCTACTAGTTATCTGCAAAACTGTCTTAAGTGCTTGTAGAAGTAATAGTTTCATTTTCTGGGTTTTATAATATCAGTTTTAAATATCTGTTTCCTTTTGAACACTTACAGTTTTATAACAATATTTGAAAGCCTGGCAGCTTCACAAATAAAGAGAATTTCAGATTTACAGACTCCTGAAGAAAAGTCTTCCAATGAATTAATGAGTAAAGGAATGGGTTCACAACAGTTATGAACTGTTATTCTCTTGTATGAAGATGGGAGAAAAAGTCAGGAAACAGTTCTGAAGGAAGGATATGAATATTATGGCACATTAGTCCCTCTTAAAGACATGAGGACCTCAAAAAAAAAAGTCTCCTGAAATATTGTTCAAGTTTAGGTCATTATTTTTAGATTTCTCTTTTCATGAATAATTGCTAAAATGTGGGCAGACAGAACAGGCTGTAACCTCAGAATTATTCAATTCTTGCCTGATCTTAAAACACACTCTTTTTTAAGAAACTATGAAACACACTCTTAAAAAAACCCAACATACTGTACGTAACTTCTTTCATACCCATGATCAGCAAAAAAAACTTACATAGATATATCCAGATACTGTATTTCTGCAACGATTATTAAAGTTATCATGGCAAGGATCATGCTGTAAAATAATAACCCCCTAAATCATGTCAGAATGATGACTTATGTCACAAATTAGAGAGACTATTACACAGTAATGAGTAAAGGCACAGTAATAGTAATTTAAAAATCATAACTTTGCAATCATCTTAACAGTATGACACGAACCATTTACAAATTCCAAGCTTTCAAGTTAAGATGGGATAGAATCATAGAACCATAGAAATTAAGGGCTGGAAGGGACCTTAAAAGATCATCAAGTCCAATCCCCTTGCCTTGGGCAGGAATACTGCTGAGCTCAATCTAAAATAATCTCTGGGAAGACTTAAGAGAAACTACTTCATCAACTTTCACACCATTTAGCTTCCTCTGGATTCTAATGTATATTATTATACAGATTCTTACTTATCTCCAATTCCTGCATACACATAATAATTTAACATGCGACAGAAATCTGCTGGAAAACATACTGCTCTACAAAATGGAAAAGACAATTAATAATATATTTTGAAAAATACATAAATATTTAGAACATTATGGACATAATTATAACGCTATTAAATTTCCAAAATGCCAAACATTTAATGAAATAGCCTAATAATAAATTATTGTTCAAAGCAGAATATTCAAAACGTTCAGTCTAATATTCTCCATATACAGACATAGTTTCATAGTTGTTAGGGGCTTAGATTATGACCACGGTATCAGAAGCAATTTTTTTTCTTTACCTCTGTGACAAATGACCAGTACTACAGTTCTAAAGACACTTAAAGAGGAATATTTGCATCAATTCAGAAAGCAGATAACGTGTCAGCATTCATAGGAGGACACAGTATGGGGCCGATTACATTAGCACAGTTGTTGTTATAAAAGCTATTCCTTTGTGGCAACATTTGCAATGTACTATTACTATCGATAATAAAGCAATAATACCCTGTGGAGAAGAAAAATACACTATACAAAGGACAAGACATTTTGTTTTATCGCGGGTTTTTAAGAAGACTTCAGCTGAAATAACATTTTCATGAACTCAAGATACTTGTTGTTCAGCAGAGGGCACCACATCCACAGTCTAGCTCAAGTCAAGCAGAAGAATGCCAAT